CAGAGCATGACTCCTTTAGGTGCTTCTACACTCTGCTAACTAAAACAATGCAGCCCCGAGCCTGAACCGGCACACTGCTCCAACAGCACAGTTCACAGAGCTATGTGTTCAAAAAATAATGGGCATGATCACAGCTGGGCACAGTGCAGAGGGGAGGCAGAAGAACAGTGAGGACTCGAGGCTTTTATCTCTTCTTCTGCTCCGTCTCTCCCCCTCTGGCCTCTGACCGCCTTTCCTCTCACAGAGCCTGATCCTGCTGCTGAGAGGCGCTGGGCTCTGGCGAGCTCTTGGTGTTTTTCTTGCGTTTCTTCTTGACCCGGTACACATGGAAGGTTTTGTTCTGAAATGTTCTGTTGAACAGAGCGGTGTAAGAGACGGCGTCTGTCTTGACTTCCTCGCAAAATCGACGATGGGTGGCGGGGACAAGGTCCTGGTCGTTTTCCCCGTCTCCGTCCATGATCTGATGGAACACAGAAGGAGCATGTCAGCACCAACGGCAACAAGAGGTCACTTTATGCTGATGATGCACGGATAACTGTAAATATGACGGCCTCAAACATGCTTTCTTCTATTTTACTTTACAACTGTGTAACTGAAAAACATTTGAATGCTTAATGTTTACCTTCCTCAATTTCAACCTAGGTTTCTAAAATTAAAAATACATTAAAAAGACTGGCCACTTATAGAATAGGGCTGACGCCCATTACATTACATGTCATTTGTTAGACGCTTTTATCCAAAGCGACTTACATACATTCAGTCCTGTGGACAATCCCCACAGGAGCAATTTGGGGTGAAGTGTCCTGCCCAGTGACACAACGACATGATGACTGCAGTGGGACTCAAATTTGCTACCCCCTGATTCCAAGTCCAGCACACTATCCACTGAGCCACAGCCTCCCAAAATGCAAGTTAAGCCGCGTTTCACCTCTGTATCTCCAATAAAGACACTCTCTGGCCTAAAAAATAACTACAAAAATGATAATATATAAATACAAATAACAAATACAAAAATAAAATACAACATTTTCACAACCTGAATTTCGATATTTTGTTGGTTTACTAATATATGTTCTGGACTCCATTTGTAGTTCCAGAGAAGACATCAATTGTACATCCTACATAGTTAATGACAAAAGACATGACCAAATGAACAGTTGACTGACAATGGCAACCAAGTGCGCAATGTTTCCAAAACACCATGAACAAATCCCTATCTTTAAATGCTAACTTCAGTGTCTGCCAGTGTCTACAACACTCTACCACCTTTGAAGGATCTGGTTTAAAAGAAAGAAAGAAAATAAAGTCCAAATCGGAAGAGACAAAAGAAGAGACACAAATAAGTACAAAAAGAATGGCATTTTTTCAATAAAGCTGTCAAGATGTCAGATGTAGCGTCTGCTTTGTGACATTTACGCCGTCAAAACAAAAACACAGTGGTGTTGTGTTTAATGTGTCTTAGCCAGACATCCAGACTGAAGCCTCTTCTAATCCAAAGAGCCAGCACCTGGCATCAAAATAAGGAGAGATAGCAACAGCAAGAGAGTGAGAAACAGAGACGCGCAGACAAAAAGGGAAAGTATTGATCTTTATGGAGGCTGAAAGCTTTCACCCGGTCACAGAAGTTGTGGCACAGTCACAATGAGTCACGGTGTATAAATGCCACCCACGTGTCCATTGGCCAGGTCCAGCAGGTCCCTCAGTCTGCAGCCTCTCCTGTGCCTGCGCTCGTAGCAGATGCTGTTCTCCAGAACCACGTAGTCCGCCCCCATGGCCTTCATGATGTCATAGACTTCCTCCGGGGAGCGCCGAGCGTACACCTGATAAACCTGCTCACACACACACACACACACACACACACACACACACACACACACACACACACACACACACACACACACACACACACACACACACACACACACACACACATACAGAAGAGATTTGCTTAGGATTGCTTTTTCTATTCTGAAGATCCTCCTGGGTTATAATTTGACTCCAATATCTTTGAAAGGAGAACAAACCTCTCTGATGGAACTCAATCACCACACATTTATATTCTGAATTACAGTTTTGATAAAAGTCGGTTTAGATTAAATTCTGACAGGCTTACGAAAAATAATAATTGGGGAATTGAAAACAGAATCCGAGGGGGGACAAAAGCTAAATTGTTAAACACAGCTGAGTGAACTTTCTGAAATCTGTTATGGTTCATGTTATATTTGTGGCTGATGAAATTAAACTTTTAACCACTTTCACACAGCAACAAAAAACACAAACTAAACAACATAAGAAATGTATTGTTTATAAGGGACAAACTCAGCCCAGTAGCATTTTGTAAATAAGATTTAATTTTAAAGAGGGCTGGAACTTTGAAGTGTCAAAATCTAGCTGGAAAATGAATGATGAAATCTCTCCCTGTTACTTGCACTTCAAACACCCGTTTTCTTAGCCTTCCTGTTTCCGGAACATACCTCCATGTCCAAAATTGCAATGCCTACTTACTAATATTTTAGCAGCCATACCCAAAAACATGTAGAAATGTAATAACAGGGATGCAAACTCATCAGGTTTGAAAAAGGTTCCGATTCCCCCAAATGATTCATGATGGCATAGAACAGTTCGTGGTGGCGAATTACTTGGGGGTCCCGGGCCTGATGGTATTGTTTTTATGGTGCCAAGAAATAGCAATACATTTATCGAATATTGTTCCAGAGAGGAAACTAATTACTAACATACTGTACCTTAGTTGTTACAATGTTTGTAATCAGTCCATTGTGGTTTTGTTACATTTTCATGAGATTTCAGAGTTTTGGATATTACGTTTTTTTGTTTCAAATTCTTAAAATACGGTCAATATTGGAGTAACACACAGTAAAAGTGTATCGGTTGGATATGTTATAACAGACAGGTAAAAATCGTTCATGTTACTGTTACAATCTAACAAATACAGTCTTCGTCATGCTAGATGAGCTCTTTAAGGAAATAATAGCCTTTTTTGATAATGAAACTTATAATGATATGTCTGTGACCTGTTTTAACACAAATCATCTTGAAACTAAGAGCCATAGGCAAGATAGGAAAGTGTTAATGTTTTGGGACACGGACTAATGCTTTGTAAGTTATGTTTTTTTCAAGGACATTTAAGACATTTCTGGAGAAAACTCCCTCCCACATTTCATTTGTCAGCGGCTTTAGGAGCCATATTACTGGGGAAAGTGTGTTATAGTACACTTTAAAAAAAATAAACAGTTGCTTCCTAATTTAGAATGAATGCCTGCTGGGTATGTGCATTCATTCCAAAAGTAGAATAATACAAAGGCAACGAGAATAACTGTTCTTTGCTCACTAATGAATTATTTGTAGAGACACAAATTAAGACCAGAAAAATACTGAAATTTCATAAAGGTCATTACAGATGTTTGAAAATGCAATTAACAAAGTTTTGTCCTCAATACCAAACACACGATATCATTTCCCTGCAAGTACAAGTACACACACACACCCACCCCCCCCCGCACACACACACACACACACACACACACACACACACACACACACACACACACACACACACACACACACACACACACACACACACACACACACACACACACACACACACACACACACACACACAGCATGCAGAAAGAAAACAAACGATCAACAGTAGAACTCATTTGCTACAATGTTTTTCATCGATCCTTTGTGGTTGTGTTTACAGAGTGTTCTAGCCTGTTTTTTGTGATCAATCGTTTTGATTTAAAGTAAAACACAGTTACTGAAGAAGTGTATAGGCTCCACATTTACTGACCGGAAAGTAAAGGTGAAATTGAGCAAAAATATTTGCATTTTGTGCCTCTACGGTGACATGTTTGCATGCTTTAATGTTCATCAAGTTCTTTATTTTTCTCATACTGCCTGGTTTCTGTCTGAAACCAGAGCCCAGTCTGCTCTGATTGCTTAGCTGGCCAGCTCTGTTGTGATTGGTCAACCGCTTAGGGATGTTTCTAAAATAGCCTACCCCTTAGCCTATCACGTCCAATGTGTAGGAGCAGTTACGGAAGTAAACGAAAAACAGGAGTCCAATGGAGGCATTTCAGGCATGGGGGGGGAGTGTGTGGGAGAGAAACTCTCTCTGAAAGGAAACTTTGGGATGTTAGCCTTGCAGCCCATTGTCCAAACCCATACTACAAGAAAGGGAAAACCCAAAAAAGCATAATAGAGCCTCTTACAAAAATATGTATAACGTGAAATAAACAGAACCAAATGGATGAATTGTATTTACTCAGCTTGGTTTGAAATGGGTTTTCCTCCATTAATGACGGTAAAAACCATTTGCACCCACATTAATAGAAAAAATGCAACAATGCTCTCCTACAGCATTTCCCACCAACATTACTAAAATGCACTCAAGTGAGTCTCACCGTTCAGCTCTCCTCTACTGGAGCGCAGCATTCTCTCTCTCCATTTTCCCTACGTTAGTACTCAGTCAGACTTAATGGATGCACATTGTACTCAGAGCTTCTTATGATCCGATATGCATTCACACAATCACTGTAGGTCACTGGCCCCCATCTACAGACACGTCCTATGTCTCTCACGCAAGACACTAACAGAGCTGAGTGAGATGGATGAGCTGCAGCCTGGCTTCAGCTGCAGTGGCACTATAAATATTCCTCTGTGAAGGAGAGAGACTGCCATTAGAGCAACAGCAAGTTCTGTAAAAGGGAGACGATTCAGACTTTGACTTCAGGACTAAAATAATATCTTAACTTTTGCATGTTCATACAATAAAATGGCAACAAATAATGTTTAACTACAAAGGGGGAAACTGTACAAGTGCCTCGAACCTGCATTCCTTCTGATGGCCAATAGGGAAAAACTTCCCTGGTTGCAAAAAGTATTCCAATTGTCTAGAAGTCTATTATGAGTCTATTATATGAGGAAATTACTTAAAAGCCAAAAACAAAGTGAAAGAAAAGAAAAGTAAAAAAAAGTAATTTAATATTCTTGTAAGCAATTGTAAGCAATCACACACGTTATCATTATGAATATATTATGCTAATGTGCAGGTTCATTTGCGTGTGCTTTTACTGTGACTTGTTTTCATGCTTAACACTAGAACCGCCAGACATCTTTTATACCTAAAACCGCCACCGGGGTCAAATTGACCCGGCATTAGAATGCATTGATTTTCAAGGTAAAAGTATTTCTTTAAAAAGAAAAATGGTCCTGTGGTATTGGTTTTTTGACAAGCAATTTTGTTAAATTGTTTCGTTTATTAACGCTACAACATAGCGTTTTGTGAGGTGGTTGTCGTTGTTGGGTGAAAAGCAAACAGCTGTTTGCTGCGGAGCGCAGCGCGAGCCGTCTTCCGTGAGCGCGCTCCTTCACTACAGACTGTCGCTATCAATATATATATATCTATCTATCTCTCTCTCAATCTATCTCTCAATCTATAAGGAACCGCAGTAGACAAAAGGCGTTTCTATAGCAATACGTCATGTTTGTTTACACGCGAAATCAATAGCGCAAAAAGGCGTGGGGTCAATATGACCCGCTTGGCCGAAATAGGTATAAATGGCATTTTTGTTGGTGATTCTTCAATCTGACTTCATATTGACAATTTTTAACAACATAGGGTGCTACATAACAAACTTTCAGGAAAAGTCACGGACTGGGAGACTTTAATATTTTATTGAAAAAAAGTTACATAGAATAAAAAACAGCTCTGGGTCGATTTGCGGTTCTGGTGTTAAATGTTCAAAAACTCTTTATTTTTCTCCCACTGCCTGTGCTGCAGCACCTCTTTTCACCCTCTGTCTGAAACCAGAGCCCAGTCTGCTCTGATTGGTTAGCTGGCTGGCTCTGTTGCTATTGGTCAACCGCTTAGAGATGTGTTGGAAGAAGAAGTCCCACTTCTTGGCCTATTCAAATGACAGATGCACATTGCTAACCAAGCAGGTGCTAGCTTTAGCTAGTTACTTAGTGTTTGCTATGCAAAATGTACCTCAGGGCTCAGTCTCCTCCCTGTAAACCACATTAGTTCACTTCTGCCAATTCTAGATAGTGATGGCAAAAGAGTCCAAACCTAAACCATAATCCACAAACCAATGTATGACATCACTTTGTCATATAGATTTGTTCATATATATACAATGGCAGAGGGGCTTTCATTTGGTTTCCCTGTACGTGCAACTAATATGATTCAATATACAGTAACTCTGACTTCAGTTCGTAGTTTCAGAATTTTGTTTCAAGATTTGATTTATGAATGCTCAGATGAATAAATAAATCAGCTTGTTTTACTGAACTGAAGAATACTGATGTTCTTGTTAGTATAAATAACAAATGTTTCATGACATATACAGACCTTAGACCTTAGCTGGCACCAAAGCACAACTTTAAAAACATGAGAAAGAAAGGAAAGCGGCAAGTGTTGCTGTTCAATGTCATTTTGCAGCACAAAGTGATATTTAGAGGCAGAATAGTTGCAACAAGGTCAATAGAAATACAAGAACCAAGACAAAGTGGAAAATTCGCTCTGGGCATCTCACATTTAGGGGGAGACGCAGTACATCTGTTTGAGCTGAAAATGTTTCAACTTGAGTGAAAATGTGTGTTTGTTCCTAGTTTCTCTGACACCATGAATATAGACAGAAGCAGAAAGAAGAGTGTCTGGAGAAAATAAGTGGATATCATGGCAACTTTGGCAGTCAGAGCTGTCACACATCAGTTGTCCATTGAATGCTTGAGGACACAAGATTGCAGCCAAAACACAAAAACACCACTCCGGTGGCAAAATGAGCCAACAACCAAAATC